TCATTTCCTCATGTTCTCCCCTCTCATGTGCAACGCAGCTGGGATTTATTTTCAGAGCACACTCTGGAATCCGCCAGACCCACGCACTGGCTGGCTTCACAGCTGAAACCATTTGCCATTTGGTAGATGATAAAGCGAGTGACAATTTACACTAACAACAGCCATAGAAAGACGCCATCCGTGAAGGAGACAGACAGGTGTCAAAGCTGGGGCAGCAGACAGCACACTGTCAGCAGATGCTGGGGCCTCCTCTGCACCCACCAGCTACAGCTCCTGGCAGACTGTGAGCCGGGCCTTTGCACTGAGTTGAATTCTGGTCTACACCTCCTGCTCAAAGGTGTGCTCATCAGTAGTGATCATGATGGCAAGTGCTGGTCTTTGCAGAGCACCGTGCATCCTCAGAACCCTAGCCCACGAGGGAAGGGAAGGTGCCCAGTCCAGCGGTTGCTGGGGTATGGAGGAGAGTGAGCAGACCAGGTGTGATCCCAGACCTTCAGTGCCTAATACAGTTCTGGCACCGAGTGACAGAGCCAGTCCTGGGAGAGCACAGCATGCAGCAGAGTGTGACCACAGAGAGGCGACCACCCTGTTTTGCACATATTCTTCCAACCCTCCCTCCTTTTGGAGCAGTGGGACCCAGGCTTGTAGAGGTGTCTTCTCCAAGGGCCTTTTGATTTCAAATGAGGGAAACCCATTTGAAACCCTATTTACTGCAGAAGGGCGGGTCTCCGGCCACTCTCTCACTCTGACTTGTGCTTTATTGTTCTTAGCACTTAGTTCAATTTAACAATCTATTCTAGTGTAGTCTAGTTTATTCTTTGGTTTTGTTGTTGTCCTATCTCTCACCCATTAGGATATAATGCCCTTTGCCTCTTTAATTCTTTGTGGTTAGAGCAGTACTGGGCATGTTGTATGTGCTGAATAAATATTTATGAAGTGACGACTGAGATGACAACTTGGTAGGTAGGAGTCAGGCAAAGGGAAGGGGTTGCTCGGGGCAGAAGGAGCTGCTGAGAAGCCTGAGCATGTTGGGGAGTGATGAGTAAGTCCATGTAGCCAAGGCCTGGGTGGAGCTACGGGGGGTGCCTGGTGTGGGCTGGGAGGTGTGACAGGTGAGCAGGGATGGGAGCTCACAGACCCATTATACTGGGCATGGGACTTGAATTTTACTGGCAACCAACAGTGGGGAGAACGAGAGGTTCTTGGGAAGGGGTGTGGTGGGATCTTTGGCTCCGAGTCAGCTAGAAACTTGCATTTATTGCTTGCCCCGTGTATGCAGATCACTTCTACGTATGTGGTATAACACTAACCTTGAAAACGAGATCTTACTCTTTCTGTTTGCAGAAGAGAAAATCATGGGCCATCAAAGCTAAGTCCTGGGGTCGCAGAAATGATAGAGCCACGATCCTTTTTGTGTGTTTTAAGTAAAGAATTCTGGTAGCATTGAAGGGGGCAAGGCCAAAGGAAGGAACGACTGCCCTGTTGCAGCTGTCCATGCAGAAATGCAGTGAGGGGGACAGATCTAAGGTGGAGGCTCTGCAGGCAGAGGAAGTGTACAAGACAGTGGCGTACCAAGATAGAGTTGACAGATACTGGTGACAGATCAGACACTGGAGTTTCTCATCATCATTATTTAATAAGCATTTATGGGCCACTTCCTGTGAATTGAGCAGAGTTTCAGTAATTTTGCAATATCAACTCATTTAGTGCTCTCAAAGACCACCCAAGGGGGAAGTACTATTTATTATTATCTTCGATTTTCAGATGAAGAAGCTGAAGCACAGAGATGTTAGGTAACTCACCCAGGATCTCACAGTGAGTGAAGAGGGCAGAACTTAAAGCTAGGCAGTCAAGTTCCAGATTCCGTGCTCTTAACTACTCAATTTCTAGAATGAGTGGTGGCACCAGTGACAAGGATGGGAAACTGGAGAAAGGCAGCTTTGGACAGGAAGACAAATTTGGTTTTGGATTCATGCAAAGTAAGGTGTCAGTGAGATGCCCAAAGGCAGTTGGACATGCAGGAGCTTCCAAGAGAAGTCTGACTGTGTTAAAAAAGATTATTCCTGACACTTGTTAACGATGGTAAGAAAGACTTTATCCAGCTGGGTGCAGTGGCTCACACTTATAACCCCATCACTTCGGGAGGCCAAGGCAGGAGGATTTCTTGAGCCCAGGAGTTCAAGACCATTCTATGCATCTATGCAGCATAGTGAGACCTTGTCTCCACCAAAAAAAAAAAAAAAAAAAAAAAGTAGCTAGGCATAGTGGCACCCACCTGTAGTCCCAGCTACTCAGCAGGCTGAGGTGGGAGGGTGAACCCAGGAGGTTGAAGTTGAGGCTGCAGTGAACCATGATTGTCCCACTGCGCTCCAGCCTGGGCAACAGAGCGAGACTCTGATAGAAAGAAAAAGGAATGAAGGAAGGAGGGAGGGAGGGAGGAATACTTTAGAAAGACAGGGGTGGAGGGGGGGAAGAAGGTAGAAAGAAAGATAGACTTTATCCAAGGGGAGATAGGAATCACTACTTAGGGAGAGAGATAGTAGACTCAGCTCCGACTTCCACAAGGGCAAGTGGGATTTATAACCAAGGTGCAGAGTCAATGGATGGAGAATTACTAAGAGGAAAATCAGGGGTCACAAAGATTCTTGCCAGATCTCAATAGAAGACAGGCCACAGTGATAAATATGGTCAGATACCAAGGGTAGGGGGTTTTTGCCAAACTGACTTTGCAGAATTCTTGCTCAGACTGGATTCTGCAAGGACAGAGAGGGAAGCCCAATGCTGGGTCTGGTCAAACAGAGGACTCAGAGGAGCCTAACTAGAGTTTTGGTCAAAGGAGAGAGACTTAGTTAACTGGAGTTGCACATCTGGATATCATCAATGTGTAGGAGGTGGTGGAACCCAAGGGTCCAGGAGGGGGAGTGAGAGAAATAAGAGCCAAGGTCCAGTCCTGGGAATGCCAACACAGGGAGGGAAAGGGCTGGGCTGAGGAAGCAGAGCCACCACCAGGACTGAGAACGAGCAAAGGAGAGGCTGGAGAAAGTGGTGTTCCCAGGCAAGAATGTTTCAAGACAGAGGGACATGATCAAGGACAAGGTCAAAGTGGAGGAGGACTAAAGAGTGTATACTGAACTTGGCAACAAAGACAGCCCTTGTGTCCTGGGCTAGAGCAGTATTCATGGAATCACAGCAGGTGGAGGGAGACTGCAGAGGGATGAGAAGACAGTGAGCACTGACAGGACCATCAGACTGCAGATACAGAGAGAAGACAGGAATTTCAGGGCCAAACAAAGTCTTTAGTTTGATTTCCCCCCCTAAGATGAAAGAGGTAGGACGGTGTTTAAATACTGGAGGGAGGCTGAGCTTAGTGGCTCAGCCTATAATCCCAGCACTTTGGGAGGTCGAGGCGAGTGGATTGCCTGAGCCTGCAGGTTTGAGACCAGCCCAGACAACTTGGAGAGACCTTGTCTCTACAATTAAAAAAAAAAAAAATAGCCAGGTGTGGTAGCATGTGCCTGTAGTTCCGGCTACTCGGAAGGCTGAGGTGGAAGGATCGCTGGAGCGCAGCAGGTGGATGCTGGGGTGGCCGTGAGCGTGCGTGCCACTGCACTCTAGCCTGGGCGAAGGAGTGAGACTCCAACTCAAAAAAATAAATAAATAAATGCTGGAGGGAATGGACAGTGGGGGAAGGGGGGGTTAGTGAGAAGTTAGAAATAGCTGAGTGGGAGTAGGTTAGTTGACAGCATAAAGCTCCCTTGGGGGTGGGGGAATACCCCTGAAATTCAGCACTTTGTTCTCTGAGATGAGAGCAAGGTGGGAGATGAATGCAGAGGAGGTGGAGGGACAGATGTGTGCAGATGATAGAGGAGAGAAAGGACACCGGGATAAGATCTATATTTCTTTTTTCCTTCCTTCCTTCCTTCCTTCCTTCCTTCCTTCCTTCCTTCCTTCCTTCCTTCTTTCCTTCTTTCCTTCCTTCCTGTCAGGGTCTAACTCTGTTGCCCAGGCTGGAGTGCAGTGGCACAATCACAGCTCACTGCCGCCTAGACCTCCTGGGCTCAGGTGATCCTTCAGCCTGAACCTCCCTAGTAGCTGGGACTATAGGCATACACCACCATGCCCAACTAATTTTATTATTTTTGTAGTGAGAAGTCTTGCTGTGTTGCCCAGGATGGTCTCAAACTCCTGACCTCAAACAGTCCTCCCACCTTGGTCTCCCAAAGTGCTGGGACTACCGCTGTGAGCCACCACACCTGGCCTAATGGCTGTATTTCCAATGTAGATTTCAATGTGGATGGGGATGCTCTTGTTGATGTCTGGGGAAGGTTTGGGAAGAGGAGGTGAAACTGACTTTTAGGTGCACAGTCAGCTGCTGGTGGCACAGCCCTGCAGCCCAGAAGATTGGTGCTAGAGGTTTAGATATAGGGTTATTATCCTCTACAGGTGACCTTCAAAGCCTTGAGTGGATAAAACTAAACTGGGGATGTGGAGAATGAGAAGATGGCTGAGGATGGAGGCTCTGGGAAAAAAAGGGGCAGACAAGAGAGAGGATGGAGTGCCGTGTTGTAAAGGGAGGGGTGTTTGAGAAGGGAGCAGAGTGTGGTCGCGTAAAACTCAGCAAAGCAGTTGGATACAATAAAGAAAACATGTGTTTTGGATTTAGCAATAAGGAAGTTGGTGACATTGGCAAACACTGTTTCTATGGAGTGGTGAGGGAGAAAGCCAAATTGGAGTGACTTGAGGTGATGGAATCTGACAAAGCAGAGACGGCAAGTGTAGATTGCACTGAAGAAAGCAAAGCGTTTCGAATCGTATGGATTTCGTTGCTCTGTGAGTTTCCTGCCAAAGAATGTTGGGAATTCCAAGAAACAAACAATTTGCACAGCACCAGTTGTCCTCATCGACAGAGCATTTGGAGAAGGCTCCCCCCACCCTTCACTCCCTTCTCCATATCCTGATGGATGGAAGAGGCTTACGCAAATGTTCTCTCTCTCTCTTAGGCCGGATCTTGGACCTGAAGACGGGGACAGTCAAGAAAGAAGGGCAGCAGTCGTCCATGAGGATGTGCATGGGCTCACGGCGGTCTTTCATCTGCAGGATGAGGTTTGGACGATGGTGGGCCCTCACTGTGACTGGCTTATTCCCCTCTGATCAGCCATTGAGAGCCTCGATGGGCTCTACTAAGGTCCCATGTGCCGGCTTGGTTTCACCTCAGTGACTTTGTCTTCTTTCCTCAGAGTGTGAATATACAAACTCCTTGGTCCTGGAAGAATCCCCTCCTCCTTCCTCCCTTCCCATTTTGTCTGATTCCCCACCAATTTCTGCCCATTTCTAGATTAACAGCCCCTTGTCTACTGTATCTCTGGACTTTCTACCTTTTTTCTTCAAGGCCTTTCTCCAACCCAACATCACCAAAGTTCTATAGATCTCACCATGTTTTATATTAAGACCAACTGATTTTATACTTATTCTTATGTCTCCCATGACAACCCATACATTTTAATTGGTCTGTATTATGTTGTTGACTGGTATTTTGAGTATAAATGTCTTGGCTCTATGAGTCCTTTGTAATGCCCTGAGGATGGAGGCTTGTATTTGTACCTCGCTGAGCTTCCCTGATGTCTAGCAGAGTGTTCTACACCTGTTTGGTGTATACATCATTGCTGAAGAAATCATGTAGGAGTGACTGAACTTTGGGGTAAGCAGGAGAGTTTAGCTGTGTGTTTTCAAGAAAGAGAGAGCAGGTAGCATCATGCAGTATACCCATGTAACAAACCTGCACATGTACCCCTGAATCTAAAATAACTTTTTTTTAAAAAAGAGTGAACTGGGATCTTAAATCCTCAAATTCAGTTCAGCACTCCTATACCTTCAACCCTGTGGCCCTAGATGAATGGAAGCATTAGCTACAAGGTAAGAGAGACTGGCCAGAGAGTTGAGTCTATGTGAGCTATGGCGTTCATGAGGCAGTGAATGAGATGATGCTACTCATGAATTCACTGATTCAGTTATTCAGTTATTCAACAAATTTATGTTGAGGGCCCGCCTGTGCCAGATGCTCTGCAGGGCACTAGGGAGTCAGTGTTAAATAAAGCAGACAAAATCCCTGCCACATAGAACTTCATTTTAGGGTGACACACAGTGGACAAAAGTACCAAGTAAATATATGAAACATTAGATGGTGGAAAGTACTATGGAGGAAAAATAAAGCAAATTGACAAGGGCGTGGGAAGTAGTAGTGTTGTTGATTTCCATGTTGTATAGGGTGGTTAGAGGAAGTCCTCATTGATAAAGTGACTTTTGAGCAGAGACATGAAGAAAGTAAGTGAATGAGACAAGGAATTTTCTGGACAAAGAGAACACCAGATAGAGAGAATAACAAGTGGCCTGGAGGCAGGGATGTTCTTGGCATGTTCAAGGAACATAAGGAGGTTACTGTCCCAGGACCAGAGTGAAGGAGGTACAGTGGGGAGGAATGGTCAGAGATGAAGTCAGGAGGTAGTAGATGTAGGTCATGCTGACTTCACAAGACTTCAGCCTTTACTATAAATGAGATGGGAGGTCACTAGAGTTTGATCATAAGAGTTGCATGTTCTCTGGGCCAGGTTTGGTAGCTCATGGCGGTAATGCCAGCACTTTGGGAGGCTGAACCAGGAGGATCACTTGAAGCCAGGGGTTCAAGACCAGCCTGGGCAATGTAGTGAGACCCCCATCTCTACAAAAATAGAAATTTTAAAGAAATTGCTGGGTGTGGTAGCATGTGCCTGTTGTCCCAGCTAGTCAGGAGACTGAGGCGGGAGGATGGCTTGAACCCAGGAGGTCGAAACTATAGTGATCCGTGATCATGCCACTACACTCCAGTCAGATGAATGACAGGGGGAGACTCTGTCTCAAAAAAAAAAAAGAGTTATATGTTCTGAATGACATTTTTAGAAATTTACTCTAGTTTTGTGGAGGGAGAAGGGTAGAAGAAAGGAAGCTGTTATAATAATTCAGGTGACAAACATGCTATAGTGATTGTGATGAAACTGGTCAGATTTTGAATAGATCTCAGATAGAGCCAGCCTGCAGGTAGGGTGTGAGAAAGAGAGAAGTCAAAGGGAAGTCTAAAGTTTTGACCGCTCAGTCAGAAAAAATGGTGTTGCCATTTACTGAGGAAGTTTGTTGTGAGAGCAGGTCTGGGACAGAGGGAAACTTTCAGCATTTTAAGGCTGAGATGCTTATCACATAACTAGATGGAGTAGGTGAGTAGAGAGTTAGACATGCCATTCTGGAGTCCGAGGGAGAGGGTTGGGGCTGAAGAGATAGACTTGGCGGTCGACATCAACAAGATGGCCGCTATAACCTTGAGCCTGGCATTCCTGTGAGCCTGACATTCCTGTGAGTATAGACAGAGGGAGGTCAGACGACTGAGCCCTGGGACACACCTACCTCAGGGAGGTGGGGAAGAGCCAGCCAGCAGAGGAGACTGGGGAGAAGCAGCTAGGCAGGTGGGAGGGGAGCAGGAAGGGGCAAAGGAATTTTCCAGAAAGAAGAGGTGATCAACTACTAGATGCTGCTGCTGAGTCCCAAATTTGAGGACTGAGGATCAGCACTGGGCCTCAGAGAGAGAGCCTACTGGGGTGTCTGTTGGGTGCTATGGCGTTCTAAACAATAGTTGCTTAAAGATCGGTGTTTCTTTTCCCTGATTCAGAATAATGTTTTTAAGTAGCTACACTTTTTCCAACATAATCTGTTCATCTACAGGTCACCCCTGAGGTGACCAGGGTTGCCTGTGCTGAGGGGACATCTGATTCCCTAGTTGGGTCCTCAGAGCTGGCAGAGGTCTTTGGTTCCCTTTTGCATGAAATAGCCCTGCAGGGATTTGAGGTTAGCTGTTCTTTCCTCTGAATCTGCTTCTCTCCAGGCTGAGCATCCAGAATTCTTCCAGAAGACACGGATGAAATCCCCTTCACTGCCTGCCTCGGTCATGGGGTAGTGTTGGAGAGACAGTATGCATACACAACTCCTTTTAACTTAGGATTGAGTCCCTGGAGACTGCCTATACCCACCCGTTCAGTGGCAGGGACAAGCTGGACAGCAGGGTCCACCTGCATCCATGTCTACCCAGGGATAAAACGCCATCAGTCAATGTAGTTGGTCACAGTGGGGTCTGTCCTGCAGTGCTTTAGTGAGTAAAGTAAATGCCTTAACTTGGTGGGCATTCAGTATAGCACCAGCAATATACACTCATAGCACATCCTTCCTGTTAGTTTATAATGCAATTATCACTGCCCTATCAACCAAATTTAGGCAGTCCCCTCCTTACCCTGGTGGCCCTCTAGGGAAAGTGCTTCCGGCTGACTTTGGGAGTACCAGGCCCATACTACCTGAGTTTACCTGAGAATTGTGCAGCACTGCCATCTGCTGAGACCATAACTTTCAGTTCTAAATAAAGCAAGTTCGTTTCAGCAAGGCACTGAGCATGGTCTTCCAGAAAATGGCAGAAGGCTATGCCAGCATCCCTGGGCAGCAGTCTCATGGGTTGATCCTGCTGTGAAAAACCACACAGTGCTGGCAGCTGTCCAAGGTCTCAGAGTATAATTGGATTCTTCTATTTGCTATCTTGAAAATTAATACATCCAAGATATTACTTGAGATGTAGTTGGGAAATGAAAACGCCTTTAAAGAATGGGTATACCAAACAGTGATCAGAGCCTGGTCATGGTACAGGCTTTGGATGTTCTCCGCCTTAGATATACTGGGAGGGCCGTTGTGAAGGGTGGCAGGAAAGGTCCTGCCAGAGGGGGCAGTGTGACACCTCCCATCCCCTGCTTCCCAGAAAGGGACCCACAGAAAGACCTGATTCTACACCTGTTCATCCCTCATCCTCCCTCCCTCCTTTGCCTGTATGGCGGCCTTTACAGTTCCATCCTAGAACAGGATGTGGGAGGAGTGAGAGTTTTCACAGCTGCAATGCTAAAGGCTGAGAAGATGCTACTGTTCATCAGCTGGCAACATCTGTTTTGAGTTGGTGTTTCTGCTCAGCCCTGAAGTGACACTGTTGCTGTCATCACCCTCTTTTCTATTTCCTGAAAGACACACAGCTCCACTGAAATGATCTGCGGGACTGTGGTGGCTAGGTTTCTCCTAGAGTATTTCTGCAGGTCTCCAGCTTCTGGGCTGGGCCCTGAAATAATTTGAGGGTATACTGTAAAATGGGTCATACTCTCCTTCCTTCAGTGACAATCAAAATTCAAAGGCATGCAAGCCTCTTTCTTCCTTCTTTGGAAGGAAATTGCCTGTAGGTCCCACCTGAACAAAGGTGTAAGCCTCAGTTCAGGCCCACTGACTTGACTACAGCACTGTGTGTTTTATAAATCTACCTGGGTCTTTACTCTTTCTATTACATTTGTCTACTCTTAGGTGTGGAAATGCTCCATTGGACCACCTTCCTCTAAACAGAATCACCACCATGAGGAAAAGGTTCAGGTTGGTCTCCCTTGGTGATATGTATTTTGAGACTGTGCTAGTAGACTGCTTAAGCTAAGCAGCCTAACTTGAAGAGGGTTATAGGAGTAGAAAGGACCAAGAGACCCAGACATTAGCATGTCAGTGCCTGGGATGAGAACAGGGAGTTGGGTGGAATTTATTTTAGACTTGCAGAGCATGTGGGAGAAAGAAAAACAGGAAGATGGGAAGTCAAGCTTCAAAACCACAAAGGCAAATAAGGGAAACCAGTAGCTTAGATGCCAAAGGAGTCATCAACATCTTTGCCTCACCTTCATGTGATAAAAACAATTTCCAAACATTCTTTCATTAGGAATGGTCTTGGTCCTGTGAAAGAAGGGGAAGCCCAGTATGCTGTGGTCCACTGCACAGGATACATCAAGGCCTGGCCGCCAGCAGGTAAGCAGGCCTGCATATGCATTCCAAGGGAACTGGATGCCACTCATGCCTGACCATGGTGTTCTGTGAGAAATGTATCCTTACAGGAAGAGGCAGGAAAATATTCTTATTTTCCTTTGTAGTTAGAACACAATGATCTTTGTAATGGGAAAAAGTCCTGTTACTTGGATCAAAGGTTTCTAAAAAGATCTAATTCTATAAAGGTGATTGGAGCCTAAGCCACTCATTTCCAGGTTCTGTCACCCAGGACACACTAAAAAGTCAGAGTGGCAACAAAGTAGTGGCTGTATCTAAGTCATTAAAGCTATGCAAATGAAAACTACAATGAGGTATCTTTTACATTCACTAGGATGGTTTAAATAAAAGGCAGGTAATAAGTGTTGATGAGGATGTGGAGCAGTTAGAACCTTCATACGTTGCTGGTGGGAATGTAAAATAGTGCAGCCAACTGGAAAATACACTAACAGTTCCTTGAAATGTTAAATACAGTTACCATATGACTCAGCAGCTTTCACTCCTAGATATATACCCAAGAGAATTTGAAAACATATGTTCACACAGAAGTGTATGCTTGAATGTTTATAGCAACATTATTCATAGGGCCAAAAATTGAAAACAACTCAAATGTATACCAACTGATGAACAGAAGCATTGATAACATGCTATAACATGGACAAACTTTGAAAATGTCATGCTTAGTGAAAAAAGCCAGACACAAAAGGCCACATGTTATATGATTTTATTTATGTGAAATATCCAGAATAGGCAAACTCATCAAGACAGAAAGATGTTTTGATTTCCAGGTGCTATAGGGAGGAAAGAATAGGAAATGACTTAATGGGTACAGTGTTTCTTTGGGGGGCAACAGAAGCAGCAATGGTAGTTACTCAACTATGTAAATATACTAAAAATCACTGAATTTTACACTTTAAGATGGTGAACTTTATGGTATGTGAATTATATCTCAATTAACCTGCCCTTAAACACAAATAACATATATGATGTTAAACTATTTGTGTATATTTTATGGTCCAGACTATGGTATATATCAGTGAATGTTCCATGTCAACTTGAGAACAATGTGTATTCAGCTATTGGTTGGGTGAAGTAGTCTTTAAATGTCAATTAGATCAAGTTGATTGATAGTGCTGTTAGGACAACTATGTCCGTATTGATTTTTGCCTACTTGATACTTCAATTACTGAAAATGTGGTGTTGAAATATTCACTTATGATAGTGAACTTGTAGTTCACTATTTCTTCCTGTAGTTCTATCCATTTTTGCCTCACATATTTTGATGGTCTGTTGCTTGGTGCATACATGTTAAGGATTGTTATGTCTTCTCTGAGAATTGATTCCTTTATGTAATAATACCCTCTCTTTTTCCCTTATCATTTTTCTTGCTCTGAATTCTGCTCTGTCTGAAACTAATGTAGCTTCTCCAGCTTTCTTTTGATTAGTGTCAGCATGGTATATCTTTCTCTATCCTTTTACTTGTAACTTAACTATGTCTGTATATTTAAAAGTAGATTTCTTGTAGCCAACATATAGTTGAGTCTAGTTTTTTTTTTTTTATCTACTCAAATAATCTGTATTCTAACTGGTGCATTTAGAACATTCACATTTAACATGATTATTGATATTGTTTGATTAATAGCAGCCATGTTTTCTGTTCATTTAACTTTGTTTCTTTGCTCCCTCTTCTTCTGCCTTTTCAAGTTTTATTGAGTATTTTATATGATTTATTTTCTTTTCTCTTAGCACATCAATTATATTTCTTTTAAAATATTTTATTGTTCACCCTAAGTTTGCAATACTCATATACATTTACAACTAATATAAATCCATGTTCAAATAGTATTGTACCACTTCATAAGTAGTCCAGGCAACTTATAACAAAGTATTTCTTCTTCCTTTTTCTCATCCCTTATGCTATTGCTGTCATTCATTTCAGTTATACATATACTCTTTTTACTCAGTACATTGCTACTATTATTATTTTGAATGAATGGATGATTTTAGGTCAATTAAGAACAATAAAAATAAGCCAGTCTCGGTGGCTCAGCCTATAATCCCAGCTTGGACCTTGGGAGGCCGAGGCGAGTGGATTGCCTGAGCCCGCAGGTTCGAGACCCACCCGGGAAACTTGGTGAGACCTCTTCTCTGCAATAAATCAAAAATTAGCTGGGCATAGTAGCGCATGCCTATAGTTCCAGCTACTTGGAAGGCTGAGGCAGAAGGATCACTGGAGCCCAGCAGATCGAGGCTACGGTGACCAGGAGCTGCCACTGCACTCCTGTCTGGGCGACAGAATGAGACTCCAACTCAAAAAAAAAAACCAGTAAAAATAAAATATTTTATTTTGTCTTCATTTATTCCTTCTCTGATGTTCTTTTTCCTTTCTTTATGTAGATCTGAGTTTCTGACCCATGTCCTATCCTTCTTCCTGAGGAACTTACTGGCGATGAATTCTCTGTTTTTGATCTTTGTAGATAGTCATTATTTCTCCTTCACATTTAAAGGATAATTTCACTGGATATAGAAATCTAGGTTGGCCATTGCTTTCTTTTGACTCTTTAAATATTTCACTCCACTCTCCTCAGGTTTGCATGATTTCTGAGAAGAAGCGCAAATAATTCTCATCGTTGTTCTTCTATACATAGTGTGAGATTGTTTTTTTTTTTTTCTGGTTTATTTTAAGATTTTCTTTTTGTGTTTGGTTTCCTGAAATTTGTATGTAATATGCCTATGTGTAGAGTTTTTTGTTGTTGTTTTTGTTTTTTAATACTGCTTGGTATTCTCTGATCTTCTTGGATCTGTGGTTTGGTATCGGTAATTAATTTTTGAAAATTCTTGGACTTTATTTCTTCAGATAGTTCTTCTGTTCAATTCTCTCTTTTTTTTCTTTTTGTATTCATTACACATATATTATTTATTTTTTAAATTGTACCATAATTTTGGAGTGTTCTGTTATTTTTCCATTCTTATTTCTCTTTGCATTTCACTTTGTAAATTTCACATTGACTTTCCTTTGTGTACGCTGATACTTTCCTTGGTTGTTTTTAGTCTGCTGATGAGTCTATCAAAGGCATCCTTCATTTCTGTCATAGTGTTTTTGATTTCTAGCATGTCTTTTTAATTCTTTCTTAGAGTTTTCATCTCTCTGCCTACATTATTGATCTGTTCTTGCATATGGTTTACATTTTTCATTAGAGTTCTTAACTCACTAATCACAGTTATTTTAAATTCCCTTTCTAGAATTTTCTAAATCTATGTCATCTCTGAGTCTGGTTCTGAGTCTGGTGTTTGTTTTTTGTCTATTAGTATGCCTTGTTAAATTATTTGTTGAAATCTAGATATGATGTATCAGGTCATAGGAACTGAGGTACCTAGGCCTTTAGTGTGAGGTTTTATATTAATCTTATTAGGAGTTGGGCTGTGTTTAATGTTTGTTGTAGCTGTAGATGCCAGAGGTTATCCATTCCCCCACTTTTTTTGTTTTTCTCTCTACTATCTTTAGGTTTTCCAAGGAGCTCCATTTTAAATAGTCTATGCCTTGCAGCTCTTCAGTTGTAATCCACTGATACTATATTAAAGCCCTGTTGCTGTGATGATAAGAAGTAGAGAAGAGTAATTGTTCTATAAACTTTTGATTAAATTTCATTCATTCAGTGGACCTGTGTCATGGGGCTATAATTGTCATAAGTGTTTCTTAGCTCCTCATTCCCTTAGGGCAGATAGAAAGGATAGAGTGGGCTGGCACTGGGTAACTGGCCGCTCCCCTTACTGAGAAAAGGTTCTGGTAAAGTCTTTTCTCTTGGAGGACAGGCATTTGTTGTGGAGAATGCTCTGGACATATCTCCCCCCCGCCCCCCACCGCTGGAGGCAGGGGATCATTTTCTCGGTTTTTCACTGTAAAAACATGATGGGGTTCCTGGAGGTAAACCCTACAAAAATGTGGGGACTCATTTGTATATATTTTTTAACACAATATTTATGGATACATGCATATAGTAAAGTTTAAACAGACAGATTTATCAGCCAGGCATGATACATCATCCAAGTACTTTGGGAGGCCAAGATGGGAGGGTTACTTGAGCTTAGGAGTTCAAAACCAGCCTGGGCAACATAGCAAGACCTTGTCTCTACAAAAAATAAAAAAAAATAACCAGGCGTGGTGGTGGCTGCCTGTAGTCCCAGCTACTCAGGAGGCTCAGGCAGGCGAATCTCCTGAGCTCAGGGGGTCGAGGCGACAGTGAACTATGATCATGCCACTGCACTACAGCCTAGGTGACAGAGTGAGACCCTGACTCAAAAAAAAAGAAAAGAAAAGAAGAAAATATAGATGTATCCATTCATTTAACACATTTGTTGATCACCTGCAATATATGTGCTAGATATTGTTCCAGACACTGTAGATAATGTTTAAAATAGACACAATTCTATATTCTGAAGATAAAAATAGGCAATAGACAAGATGAGCAATCAAATATATAGTATGTTAGAATGCTTATGCTGAAGATGTAAACTCAGGAGTCATCAGCATACAGATGGTTATTAAAGCCACATACCTCTGTTTAACTCTGTAGAGTAAGGGAACAGAATAGGATCAGGAAGTCCTCCGATTTCACTGGATTTTCTTTATTTCTTTGAGATAAAAATAACATGAGGTAAATGTGACAAAATGTTAATTATGTTTTAAAACTGCATATTGAGAAAGTTATAGTTATAAAAGATGAGTAAATTACAGAGATCCACTGTATAACATAGTGCCTATAGTTAACAATAAGATATTATACACTTAAAAATTTGTTAAAAGGGTAGATCTCATGTTAAGTGTTCTTACCACCAAGAAAACACCAACAAAAGGACATAAGGAAATTTTTGAAAGTCATGGATATGTAGAGATGGTAACATGAGTGGACACATATATTCAAACTCACCAAACTGTATACATTAATTATGTGCAGTTTTTATATACCAATTATGTCTCAATACAG